GGTGACGCCCCACCAGGGGTCATCTGAGCCTCCCTTTCCCACTATGCAGGCGTCCCTGTCCTCTGTTTGCCTTCGAGTCCCCATCCACCTAGGTGATGGGGCTGAGCCCTCTGCTACCGCCAGCCGGGAATAACCAGCCTCTGCTTGTTCTCGTTTGGGTGGTCCTCCTTTACTTCCACACTTCTTTGGAGTTGCTTGTTGGGGAGGCATGGGACCGAGAGGGGTCCTAGGAGGAAGCCTCCTGCAAACTGCTCCATCTTGCAGGGTTTACACCATCATTGAGGACCTCCACGGCGCTGGAAGCTTCGTTACGGAAATGCACTTGTTTATTGGAGACTCTCCCATACCACGAAATTATAGTGTGTCTGCCAGCGACGATGTCAAGATCGAAGTGGGGCTCTATAAACAGAAAAGCAACCTCAAGGTGGTCCTGACCGAGTGCTGGGCTACACCGTCCAGCAACGCCCGGGACCCCGTCATGTTTGGCTTCATTAACAACAGGTAGGGGCTCGGGGGGTGCTGGGCACTGCCATCCCCTTGCTAGTGGCCTGCTTTGGGCTTTCTGAGTTTTCAAACTCACATGGGTATGGACTTCGGTTTTAGGTAATGCCTACAGGAGACCCTCTCCTCTCAGGAACTGGAGGGCTAGCCTTCCTTGCCTTCCATGGAGACTATTGGGGGCGCTCTGTGCGCAGTCAGGTGTCTTGTAAGGGAACTCATCTGGCAACAAGGTAACTGATGAGTCACCTTTTCTCTCCTCCCAGCTGCCCCATCCCCAACACGCACACGAATGTGATCGAGAACGGGGACTCCAACAAGGCCCAGTTTAAGCTGAAAATCTTTTCCTTCATCAACAACTCCATAGTCTACCTACACTGCAAACTCCGCATCTGCATGGAATCCCCTGGAACCACGTGCAAAATCGTAGGTGTTGGGTGTCCTAAGCTTTTGCCTGGGTTCTCGGTTTTTGTTGCCACGAGGAGGGTTACTCTGTCATCCAAAGCCCAGGGCTTGGACAGCTTGGGGCCCGACTTCTGGTAGGAGGCGCTGGGCCCTGTGGACGTGGCCCCTAAAAGGTAGGAGATGAGGCTTGGGCAGCGGGCAGCCCTTGGATGGAGGACCGATGTGGATGGATGGTAACGTAAGTCCTTGAGGCTGTACCGACTACTGGCCATCACCTTGGACCTTCCTGGTCATGATGCTACCACGCTTCTTCTCAAGGCGACTTAATGCATATTTAGGTGGAAAAATGCTATTTTAATTTTACATTATTTTTAGCAACACTGGGGGAGCAGTACTGAATCCTAGCCACTGTGGTATTTAATCAGGTTCTTGTCTTTCCCTGTGCGCAGCATTCATTCTGCGATCATGAATAATCTTATATCCTCATTTCCTGAGACCTTTGAATGCAAAATATGTTTTGCAGCCCTGAGGTTTGAAAGCTCTTCTGCAGACCATAGACAAGTATGAAGGGACTGTCACATTGTCTGTGGCTGAGGACAGGGGAGAGGGCTCTGCTGGCTGTGGCTTAGGCCATTGCATGGTCCCCTCTCCTTTGGGGGTAAGCTTGTCCCTCTGATCCTCACAGAGCTCCTGGGGCACCCACCTCCAAGGGTCAGTAGGACATGGATAAAAGAAACCCAATGGTGGCCGGTTTTGTTGATGTCACCTTTTCTCAAACAGTACATCTTCCACAGCACAGACTCCTGACTGCCAGCAAAGGGCGCTCGAGCCTGCTCCTGGCTCCTTGAGCCCCTCAGAAATGCTAAGAGTATCAATAGCATGATAGCACTTTCCCTCGGCAGGGCTGCCAGTTCTCGAATCCTTTACAATAGGAGCTCCAAGTATTTCTTCCCAAGTTCCTTTAGGATGGGCACTGCCTTAGTTTCCTGTGGCTGCTGTAACCAAGTCCCACAGACTGAGTGACTTAAACACTAGAAATTTGTTGTCTCACAGCCTGGAGGCTGGAAGTCCAAGGTCAGGGTGCCGACTGGTTGGTTGGGTCCTTCTGAGGCCGTGAGGAAGAACATGCCCAGGCCTCTCTCCTTGGCTTGTAGATGGCCGTCGTCTCCCTGTGTCTGCACATGTCTCCCCTCTTTGCATGTCTGTGTCCAAATGTCCCCTTTGTGTAAGGACGCCGTCCTATGGAGTTAGGACCCACCCTCATGGCCTCATCTTAACTCAGTCATTTGCATCCACCCATCTCCAGATCAAGTCACATCCACAGGTCCTGGGGATAGGAGTTAAGCATCTTTGGGGGAACATATGAAACCCACAGCAGGTATATAGTAAGGAGATTTCATCATGTCACTGAACCTTCCTGTAAGGCAAAGCCATTTAAAGGGACAAGTAGCTGCAGCCAGTTATGGACAGGACAAAGGTGACTCTGAGAGCTGTGTTAAGATGTGACCCTTGAGGGGCAAAGGGGCCAGCGCTGGTAACTGGAGACAGCTCAAGGGGTGGCTGCACCTCGCTGCCCCCTGCCCACTCCCTCCATCGTGCTGGGCAGGGCTCTGGTCCAGGGGGGCCGGGCCTGGCAGCCCTCTTCTGCCTGTCTGAGCTCATCCATCTTGACTTCATGTCTCCAGCAGAAAGAAATCTACAAATCAGAATCATCCCTGATAGGGGGTAAACTTCTCACAAACGTTGTTCAACTAATTTTGAAATGTCTCTCCTTTTGAAAAACAGGATTGCAATGACTTTCGGTCGCTGAGAAGCGGTGAGCCATCTGCAACACACCAGACATCCTGGGGACCCCTCATTCGGTCTGACGGTGAGTTGGTGACTTGGTTTAGCAAGTAAAGAAAAGATGCAGCCACTTCCATTTTGCCAGCATGCAAGCCAAAAAGCAATTACTTGGGACGTGGAGCTTTTAAGAATTTCCCAAAAGACTCATAACAGAATGATGCCAGCTAACATTCACAGACAGCCCCTGACACTCCAGGGCTGTGTTTCGCTCTTTCTGTACAGAATGTAATTTGCTCCTCTTGGCAGCCCTGGGAGGTAGAATCTATTATTACCCCAGGTTGCAGATGAAAAGACCGAGGCTTCAGGAAGTCGGCACAAGTTTAACTAATGCAATAATTGAGCTGCATAATGTGAAGGCTGCAAAGCCTCCTGACCCTGGATAAATGCACCCAGGGGGTTGTTATGAGGAAGGCGCTCAGGCTATCACCAGGTCAAATTCTGTGTGCCTGCATGTGCATGTGTGTGTGCACATATGTGTGCATACGCATATGTGCATGTATACATGTGCACACGTGTTCATGTGTGTGCCCACATGTGCATTCATGGATGTGCGTGTGTGTTCATGTGTACACGTGTGTGTGCACGTGTGTGTGCATGTGAATGTGCGTGCACACAGGAAAACTGTTTTATTTTAGGCTTGGCTAAATCAGAAGACAAAAACAAAAAGGCACTTCTGTTCTCCCTCAGTATAAAACTTCCATCAGCCAATTACATTCCCTGTGTTTTCAAAACTCACCATCAGTTTTGCAGGAAAACTTTTTTTTCTTTGTGACCTATCCTATTGTTTTGGGGGAAAAAATGGTTTGGGGAAATTGTGTGCATTGGCTCTTAAGACAGAAATTGCTAGCTGTCCCCCAATATCTGTTCTCCTCTCCTTCCATAGTCGTAGAACCCATAGTTTTTAGCTGGCACGTGGCTGCCGGGGATAAAAACTATATTTTTTTATATATAACCAACCTGGCAGCCAAGCGTGGACAGCCAGATGAGTAAACTCTGGCCAATGAGATGCAAATGGAAATGTCTGTGACAGCTTTCTAAGGGCTGCCCTCCTTAGAAACGTGTGGTGCCCACCCTTCGCCCCATCTTCTTCATCATTGTCCCATCCTGCTGCCTGACATGCAGGTGACATGGCTGCAGCCAGCCGCCATCCCGGATCATGAGGACCATGGGGACAGGAGCTGGAAGAGCCGGGTCCCGAGGACACCGTGGAGCGAAGCTGCCAGGCCAGGCCTGGGCTCTGACCTCCAGTTTTTATGCGAGAAAGAAATAAACTTCCATGTCCTTCATCACTGCTATTTTGAGTTTTGCTCTTTTTTGCAGCCACACCTGTCCTAACTTTGATGGCCCGCCTTCCTCTCTGTACTTTCCTGTATGAGAATGTCTGTGTTCTCAGCTGGGATGGGAGTGCCGATCAGAACTTGGGAAGGGAGGGCTTCTCGGCTGCTGGTTCTCATCCAAAGCATCTGGGAAATAAAATAAACTCCCAGGTCCCAGCCCCAGCCCCAGCCCCAGCCTGCTAACTCAACTTGTGGAGCTGGGCTGGTCCCTGGTGTTCACACGGGTCCTCAGGCACCTGCAAGCCTGGAATCTAGGGTGACATCATGTTCCCACCCTCTTCCTTTTCTTAAGGAAGAACCGGGGTCCTCATATGAAATAGAACATATGTGAACCGCACTGCCATTTCTAGACAGTCCACCTTGTATTTACTCATAGATATTACAGACAATGCCAAAACCAGAGTGGAAAAGGTGATGGACTAGGAGTTAGAAGACCTGCATTTCAATATAGGCTCTCATACTTAGGAGCTATGTGGTCTTGGGAAAATTACTGAATCTTCTGAATCATATCCATCTACTCATTTATCCACTCATCCATCCATCCATCCATCCATCCATCCATCCATCCATCCATTCAT